GATGCAGCTTGGCCTGCTGTGTTCATCCAGCTCTACACCTTATCTCCAACTATTTAGCCTTGTTTGCACTGTAATAACAAAACTGTGCATGTCCTGGAATGCTCACTAAAAGGTTTTCGTTAGTCCAAGCTGCTTTTCATTGGCTCGTTCCTGACCTTGATAGAGAGAGGAGCTTCTGGTTTTTTGTTATTATCACACGACGTTGCTTTTTGCCAGCTTTATTGCTTAAAGGCTACTGGTTTCTTTGTGGATTCTGGTGTGTGTACCCTTGTTTCATTCCAAGCTGGATAGATGCTGGCAATCTTTCATCTCTCAACACAAATTTATCATGCAAGTTTGAGTAATACAAGAGATGAAAATTTACCACTATCTCAGTGTTTCAGTGCATTTTCATTAAAATGCACTTCGAATGCAATTGGTTTTGTACATTCCACGTAGATTGCCTGAGTTTATCAGATGGCCGTAGCAGCAATTTTGTCTCAGGTATTGAAGTGAAGTGATGAAAGTTGAATATTCGTAGCTCAGTTTCACTATGATGGCTACAGTGGTATCAAGAAGGCCAAAACTAGAGTCAGCGGGAATGCCATTTTCTGGGGGAAAGGCAGGGGAAGAGACAATGAGAGGGAAAGTAGTGTCACATGCAGCACAAGGGAAATAGGTTGCAAATAAGGTCAATCCTCACAAATCCCAGGATACGGTCTGAAGATTTCCTCAGGATAGTATCCTGGGACCAGGCATCCTCAGTTGCTTCATCAATGACCTTCTTCAGAAGAAAACTTGGTTTGATTGCATGTCAGTCATTCAGCACCATTCACAACACCTCCTGCTGAAGGCATCTATTTCCATATGTTATCAACCAAGACAACGTATATCTTGGGTTGTAAGTGGCAAGTGACATTTATGCCATACAAGTACCAGGCAATGGTCATCTCCTGCAAGTGAAAATTTCAACTGGGCATTAGTAACCCTGAATCCTCCACTATCAACATTAGGGACCAAGGAGGTGATGGTGTAGTGGCAACGTCACTGAACTAGTAATCCAGAGTCCCATGCTCATGTCCTGGGAACATAGATTAAATCTAATCAAGGCAGATAATGAAATTGTAAATCAATAAAAATCTAGAATTAAAGTCGTCCAATGGGGGCAACCTTGCAACCACTGTTGTTATAAGAACCTATCTGGTTCAGTAATGTCTTTTAGGGAAAGATCTCCTGCTGAACTTACCCAATCTGAGCTACATGTGAAACCAGACCATAGCAACTATGGTCGACTCATAACTGTCCTCTGCAAAATAATAGATGTATAATGAATGCTGGCCTTGCTAGCAACACCCACAACCCATTAACAGATTTAATGTCTTCTACTCACTCAGAGTAGGGGCATTGCTGGCTGGGCAGCATTTATTGTCCATCCCTTCTTACCCTCAAGAAGATGGTGGCAAACTGCCTTCTTAAAGGCAGAAATCCATTTGTGGTAAGGGAGGGCATTCCAGGATTTTAACACAGTGAAATTAACAGAAAGGCAATATATTTTTAAGACTGAATGGCCAGTAGCTTTGGAGATGAATTTGTACAGGGTGGCACTACCATGTATGAACTGCCTTTGTCCTTCCACAAGAAATGATTTAGGTTTGGAAGGTGCTGTCTGAACAGCCTGGCTGAATTTCTGCAGTGCACCTTGAGGATGGTACACACTGCTACTTGTGAGAGTTTTGGTGGTGGTAGGATTGAAATGCTTGATGTGGTACCAATCAAGTGGGCTGCTTTATCCTGGGAGGTTAAGATTCTTGAACGTTATTGGAGCTACATTCATCCAGTGAAATGGGGAGTATTCTATCAAACTTGTGACTTGTAAATGGTGGACAGGCTCTGGAAAGTCAGGAGGTGCAGTACTGATTACACGATTTCTAGCCTCCAACCCACTCTTGTAACCAGTTATATGGGCTGTACAGTTCAGTTTTTTGGTCAATGGTAATTAAAAGAATCAAAAACTGAACCATATGAATATTCTGGTAAGGAAATGATCTGAAAATGGTATAGGAGAATCAAAAGCCACTGGTGAGATACACACTTTGATTCAAAAGAATAGCAAGTAATATTTCTCACCTTAGAGAAATGTCTGGGTAAGGGACAAGGCAAATATGCTTATAATATTCAGACCTTGAATAATTTTGGTCAAACAGTATAGCAGCTGTACAGGGTTTCACTAAGGTTGCAATTTCCCTCACTAATAAATCTCACACAGCAGAAAGGTCAGTGCCCTCCAGAGAGAATTTTAAAAAAATATATATATATTCTCTAGATTCTAGAGCTATGGAGCATAATACGAGAATGAGGGACAGACATTTCAATAAAGACATTGGGAAGCAATTCTACACTCAAAAGGATGGTAGATGTTTGTAACTCTTCTGAAATAGGAAGTGGATTCTTAATCAAAAGTAAAAACCGAAAGAACTGCGGATGCCATAAATCAGGAACAAAAACAAAGTTGCTGGAAAAGTTCAGCTGGTCTGGCAGCATCTGTGAAGGTAAAAACACAGTTAACGTTTGGGATCCAGTGACCCTAGTTTTAAAAGTTTTTTTTTGGGTTAAGCAAAGATATTAACGGGATGTGGGCCAGGAATCCAGCATATGGATTAAGGCCACACTTACACATGATCTTTATTAATAGCGGTACAGGCTCGAAGGGCCGAATGGCCTACCCTTCATTCTTATGGTCATCTATTGGGTGTGGGATTTCAAATTTATTCGCAACGCGATGTCTATTCTGAGCAGAAACTATATTACAGCTAAGTTTTTTTAAAAAAAAATTCCACGTTGTTATTAATTGCGCAACGTTCCATATTTATTTCATCATTGCCAACATATCGCCAGGAAAAAAAAAAATCACGGTATCGTTGTCTACCTACGGGATGTATGCCCTTTCACCACTACGTGAAACAGTAAGAGAAAACGGAGCTTTACAATCTCCAATTTGGACAATAAAAAGGCTACAAATTAAACAAATATCCCCATTTCCTGTCAGCGCCATTTTCTCAGATCATTTCGAGTGCGTTTTCGGAATAAATGGCGTCGCTCAATTTATCTCAAAAATTCAAAAACATTGGAATCGCCAGCAAAGTGCGCTTTCTTTAAGAACAAGTTGCAAACAAAAAAAACCCCACCAATTTCGATACTACAAACAACTCAAAGAAGGAACAGATTTAGATTTAGATTTGTTGACCCCACCCACGTACCTAAATGGCCACAGCACACCTACCAATATCAGTTCGCGACGAATTTCCCCCTTTACACCCGCGCGCACTCTTTTATTTCCCTGCTCCTTCCAGAAACGTCCTCCGAGCTTAGCATCAACCGAACCTGCTTGCCGGAACTGACTGACCCGCCTCCTGCAGACTGACGTGTCAACGAACCAATGGGAAATGGGACGCTGCCGTATTTACATGAGGAAGCGGAGCTGCCGATCAACGGCGAGTAGCCAATTAGGTTGGGAAGGGGGTGGTATTCCGTGGGTATCAGGTTAGGTTGAGGTGTGGGCGAGGGCTCATTCGTTTCCTCTGTGTAAAATCGGTAGAGAACCCTATCACCATCGCTGCACTAGAAAGCGTCGAGCGCCATGTTTGTGAGGAATAACCACAGCGTGTGAAAATTTTCCTTTTTTTTTGCTATCGCCAACCAAAATCACCAAGAACAAAACCGGCGGAAAAAGAGGGGTATCAAACTCTTTAGAACCAATACGCAAACAGTTTAACCAAATAAGAATTCGCGTAAGATTGAACGCTCTTGTGTTTTTTTCTTAAAAAAAGAGAAAAAACTGTTCTCATCAAATTTACCGTGAGATTTTTATTTATTTATTTTTATCAACAGTCACACCAGCAACGTCTCAGTGAGACATTCTCTATCAGTCTTGTACTGTTGTGTGGGGAAAATGGCTTTTGAAAGCCTTTTCTCCAACCCCCCAACCCCAGTTGACAAAAATGATGTTCTAAACATGACAGAGTCTGAGCTTGCAGGGGACGAAAGGTCGAGTAACATTCTTATATATCAACCATTCTAAAATTATTTTTTTAAAAAATAAGTTTAACATTGCCATTCTTTCGCTCTCTCTCTCTCTCTTTTGTCTCTACCTGTTTTAATTTTTAACATTTTTTCTTCCGAAAAAAATCAGTTCATGGGAGGTGAATTCTATACAACTTGTATTTCTTTCTCTTTTTCTGTAGATTAAATGTTTCGCTGGGGAGGGCTTTCACTCGCCCTTTTTCTTTTTTAAAAAAAATCAACAGTTAAAACGTGTGCATGCTTGGCTTTTTAAAAAAAAAAGAAAAAATCATTTGTCCACTTTTTTTATAAAAAGAACACTGCTCAACGTGGTAAGTTTTATATATCAAAACAGGGAGGAAACCATTCCTTTATTTATTTAGGAAACCATTTTATTTATACGTAGTAACGAGGTTGAATTGTTTTTTTTGTCTTAATTTTCGGGCCCGTGAAACCTCTTCTCGAAGTCGAGTTGGATCCGGTTTCATGTCTCATCGGATTATAGTCTCCATTTTGGCAGTGAATCTTTATGTAAATC